TTTTTGACACTGGCAACTCTGTTGCCCAGGTTGGAGTGCAGTGGTACTATCTCGGCTCACTACAACCTCTGCCTCCCTGGTTCAAGTGATTCTCCTGCCTCAGCCTCCTGAGTAGATGGGATTACAGGCATGTGCCACTGCACCCAGCTAATTTTTTGTATTTGTAGTAGAGACGGGGTTTCACCATGTTGGCTCAGATGGTCTAGAACTCCTGACTTCAGGTGATCTGCCCACCTCGGGCTCCCAAAATGCTGGGATTACAGGTAAGCCACCGCACCAGGCCTAAATTTTTGCTTGTTGAGGGCTGGAGCCATCTGTGATTTTTCCAAACTAGTTATGCAAAGTGTGTGTCTCCTGTGTGTGTGTGGTCACTGAAGTTTGTTATCTCTTATAATGCTAAAAACCTCAATTACTTTTGCACCAATCTAATATTTTATTTTGCAGCAACCTAATTCATTTATTTATTTATGAGACAAGGTCTCACTCTGTTGCCCCAGCTGAACTGCAGTGGTATAATCACTGCTACTGCAGTCTCCAACTCCTGGAATCAAGCAATTCTCCTGCCTCAGACTCCCTAGCAGCTGGGAGTCTGCAGGCATGCACCACCACACCTGGCTAATTTTTAAATTTTTTTGTGGAGACAGGGTCCCACTGTTTTGCTCAAGCTGGTCTTGAACTCCTAGGTTCAAGTATTCCTCCTGCCTCAGCCTCCCAAAGTGTGAGCCGCTGTGCCCAGCCTCTATTATCTCTGTAGTCAGCTAGTGAGTGAGCTCACAAAGATTTTCTGGCTTAAAAAACAAACAAAAAAAGGCACGGGTCCTTTAAATCTTCTGATATGTTGCCAAGGTGGGGTGGAGCGGGGTATTAATGCAGGAATTGTATCTAAGAGGCTGAAACCAAGGCAAGCATCTCAGAGTACCTCCAGGTCCACCAAAGCACACAACCCCCAAATTTTTGGAGGGCAAGGTCCCCAGACCTGTTCTGGCACCAGTCAGCTGCTTTCAGAACTGGTGCTGTTATCCCCACAGCCGGGTGGAGCTGAGGAATGGGAGTAGTAGCTGCTTGATTCACACTACTTTCTTCATCCAGCAACCCCCTTGTTAAATGTCTGATCAGGAACCAGAGTTCTGAAATGGTTGATTATAATCACTGCTCTTTTCAGCTCAATGCTTGCTTTGATCCAGGAACCAACCCCTGGAGCTTCCAGTTCCACCATTGTGCATGCCTTCGCTCCACACTCTTTTGATTACTATAGTTTTATAGTTAAGTTTTTAAATTGGGAAGAACTTTATCTTTTCTCTAAAACAATTTCAAAAAAATGTTTTGGCTATTCAGAGCCTCTTGCAATTCCATATAAATTTGAGAATTAGTTTTCAAATTTCTGCAAAAAACAAGGGCCATTGGAATTTTGATAGGGATTGTATTGAATTTGTAGAATGCTTTAGGGGTTATTGCCATCTTAATATTAAGTCTTCTAATCCAGGAACACAAGATGTCCATATATTCAGGTCATAAGTTCAATTTTTGGTAACCATCACACCTATTTCCAAAACTTTTTCATCACCCCAGACAGAAACTCTGTGACCATCAAGCAGTAACTCCCCTGCCCCCTCCCTCTATCCCATGCTAACTTCTATTCTGTCTCTGTGAACTTGCCTGTTCTAGACACTTCATGTAAGTGGAATCATACAATAGTTGTCTTTTTGTGTCTGGCTTATTTCACCTAGCTGCCATAAGTTCTTAACCTATACGCAACACAGATCCCCACTTTATTTTTATTTTGGGGAGTCTCGTTCTGTCGCTCAGGCTGGAGTGCAGCGGAATGATCTCGGCTCACTGCAGCCTTTGCCTCCTAGGGTCAGGTGATCCTCCCACCTCAGCCTCCCAAGTAGCTGGGACTACAGGTGCACACCACCATGCCTGGCTAATTTTTGAATTTTTGGAGAGATGGGGTTTCACTATGTTGGCCAGGCTGGTCTCGAACTCCTGGGTTCAAGCAATCTACCTGCTTTGGCCTCCCAAAGTGCTGGGATTATAGGTGTGAGTCACCACGCCTGGCCCAGATCCCTACTTTACAGATAAAGAAGCTGAGCACAGGGGCCAGGCACGGTGGCTCACGCCTGTAATCCCACCACTTTGGGAGGCTGAGGTGGGTGGATCACCTTAGGTCAGGAGTTTGAGACCAGCCTGGCCAACATGGTGAAACCCCGTCTCTACTACAAATACAAAAATTAGCCAGGCATGGTGGTGCGTGCCTGTAGTCCCAGCTACTCAGGAGGCTGAGGCAGGAGAATCGCTTGAATCCGGGAAGTGGAGGTTGCAGTGAGCTGAGATTGTGCCACTGCACTCCAGCCTGGGTAACAGACTGACTCTGTCTCAAAAAAAAAAAAACAGAAGAAGCCGAGCACAGAGAGGCCAGGTAATTTACCTAAGGTCACTCAGCTGGACAGTGCTAGCGGCCAGCCCTTACACTCTTAACCTGATGCTTCACTTCACATCACTAAACTTCCTTGGCTCAAGTCAGCTGCAGAGGGGCCAAAACTCATAACCAAGAATGGTACCTCCTTGCCACAAAGCCCCATACTCCTCCAGATATGCTAGAGATCAGCTGGGCAACCTCCACTGCAGCATTCACTCACTCCCTGTGCTCTTTTTTTTTTTTTTTTTTTTTTTTTTTTTAGTTTTGCTCTTGTTGCCCAGGCTGGAGTGCAATGGCATGATCTCAGCTCACGCTCCGCCCTCCGGGTTCGCCATCTCCTGCCTTCGGCCTCCCGAGTAGGCTGGGGATACGGGCGTACCGCCACCATCGCCCGCGCTGTTTTGTATTATTTTTAGTAGCGACGGGGGTTTCACCATGTTAACCAGGGATGATCTCGATCTCCTGACCTCGTGATTCCGCACCCGATCTTCGGGCCTCCCAAGTGCTGGGCTTGAGCCACCGCGCCCGACCTCCCTGTGCTCTTAATCCCCATGCTGGGTCCTGGGAAAACAGGTGAACTCCTACCTGATAGTGGGAGAGGGAAATTTAGGGGACTTCACTCAGGCTGGGGGTCAAGAAGTGAAGCACTTGAAAGAAAGTGCCCTTGGCTGGGTGTGGTGGCTCACACCTATAATTCCAGCACTTTGGGAGGCCAAGGCAGAAGGATCGCTTGAGCTCAGGGGTTTGAGACCAGCCTGGGCAACATAGCAGGACCCTGTCTCCACAAAAAGTAAAAATAAAAAAATTAGCCAGGTGTGGTGGCACGTACCTGCAGTCCCAGCTACAGGTTGAGATGGGAGGATCACCTGAGCCTGGGAGGTTGAGGCTGCAGTGAACTGTGATTGTGCCACTGCACTCCAGCCTGGGAGACAGAGGGAGACCCTGTTGCAAAAAAGAAAAAAAAGAAAGAAAGAAAGTGCCTTTGCAGCCAAAAGTCAAAAGCTAGTAATTTGGCTGGTAGTGTTTAAACGTGGGGAGGAACGGAAGGTAGTGGTCGTTGGTTATTTGCTGTGAGTATCCCTGTATAGATAGATTTCTGTTTACTCATTCACTTTCCTACTTATGGCCTTTAGGCTATGCCTAGGTTAGAGATTGTGAGAAAAGCAGAAGTGATCTCATTTTTGCTAGAGTCTTCCTGTGCCCCATGAGAAGGCACATGCCTAGGGAAGGAACTGCTAGGTCTGAGGCTAGGTGATATTCCTGCTTTAGAAAGTCATGCCAAACAGTTTTCTAAAGTGTTGGTGCAAATTTACACTCTCAGAACCAGGAAGAAGAGATTATTATTATTTTTTTAAATTTTATTTTACATGAAAATCTTCCATACTCTCCATACATCCCATTCTATCCTCCATTCCCCAACCTGCTTGGCCCAGGCTATGCCTAGCAGCAAGTCAAAGGCAGGTAGAAGCTCAGGCTGAGGCTGCCTGAGATGCCTCAAGTACTCTGGTCCACAGAGACAGTCAACAAGCGACCGTGGTCTCCAGGCCCAGAAAGAGTCTGACCACATCTGATCATGGCTATAAACAGAAGCCTGGCAACAGGAGCAGGCCCTGCTGACAGGATCAGTGGGCTGGTCATGTCAGCTCCCAGTCATGGGAGTGGGGCAGGGTGAGGGCAGGAAGAGCAGCCTCTGGGTGTCACACTCCCCCTCACCTGTTTGTCTGCCCTTACTCCTCAGGCTGGTCCTGAAAGTGGGGCTCTGCCCACAAAACCCCCTGCCTGGACAGTCCTTAAATCCTACAAGTTGGAGGCATGTGTCTGGCCACTGGTCAGACTCACTGTTCTCACGACCACAGGAAGGTGTCCAGCTTGGCCTGGGAGAGAGAAGGCACTGTCTTCACCCTCACTCTCTGCTTAGCCTTGGTCTTGGGCTTAACAGGCAATGGGCGGATCACGGCTGTGTCAGTCTGGAGGAGCTGTCAAGGAAGAGGCTTGGAGAAAGGACTGCAATGCAGGGCAAGAAAAGCTCTGAGCCGGGGCTGGGCAGCCCTGGTACACAGAATGAGGCCCAGCACTGCACACCTGAGGCTGTTGGCACTGGCAGGCTGGGAGTATAGGTGAGGCATAGTATGGGCTCCACAGCTCAGCTCAGCTCAACACCACAGAAAAAGGATACAGGCTGGATAAATTTTGTCCGGCCACCGAGCCCATCGAAGCCTGTCCTTACCTAGGGTGGAAAAAAGAGATGAGTGGGCCAGGCTAATGGGCTGGGTGGCTGGCCACCCATTTCTACCCAAGAGGGTTGGCTCCTGCCACTGTGAGAAGCCGTACTCACCACATCTTTGCTGCGACAGGACTCTGACCTGGGCCTCTTGGGCTGTTTCTGGCCCAGGATGGCATTCCGGACAAAAATAGGGAAGGCACCAACCAGTTCCTCATCTGGCTCTCCTGCACAGCTCTGGTCACCCAGTGAAAGCTGGGACTCCTGCAGGAAAGACCCCAGGGCCAGACTTGATAAGCCAGATGTCAGCAAAGGAGGGAGGGTAGTGGTGGTGGAACAAGATCAGGATCTCTGATGCCTCACTAGGAGGCAGGAGGGATAATAAGTAGAATCCCAAGGGTGGCTCCAAAGTACCTCAGTTCTGGACCAGGAGTGACAGGGCTCTGGCAAGACCATGCCCTCCCAAAAGTCCAGTCCTGGCAACGGTTAGACTGTGTTTCTTCTAGAAAGCTCTTACCTTCTTGGGGCCTTTGCATATCTTCTTGGGGACATCCTGAATTGGGGAGCTACAAGAATGCGAGAGAAGGCAAGGGGTAGGTAAGAAAGACATGAGGGCAGGTGAACCAGGCTCAGCATACGTACCTTGGGGAGTTACCATGTGGCACTGCTGCTGCCATGCCTGCATTCTGGGCAAGGCACCTCAGTGATCCCACCCCAAGTGCAGGTCTGTTAACAGCTGGACAGTCACAGCTAGTAGGGTGGCAGAGACAGGGATGACTGGGGATGACTGGACCATGTTCCAATCCTGTGGCTTCCACTCAAGGCCAAATTCCAATGCTCCTCAAGTCCTTGGGCACCTCACCATGTCCCAGGCTCTGTATGGGGCTGGAGAGCCCAACCAACTCACCACCCACGGGAGGAAAGCCAGTCATGCCCTGATATGAGCAAAAGGCATCTTATGAGCTCAGGCCTAGACATGCCTTCCCAGAGAAGGGACACTACCTCCACGAGAGCCTCAGTAAGTTAGCCTTTCAGTAAAGTCGCTCACAAACTCCTCTCAGAACACATGGCCAGGCCATCTCCCTAGAGAGTGTGTGTAGGAAGGGCCTGGGGCAGAATAGCGCATGGCCCCAGGCCCTGGCCTCCCAATCCCAGCCCCAGAGCTGGAAACTGTATTTCCATCCAATTCCTGGGGAACCCAGCAGCTGGATATCCTCTCCTGGCGTTTTCCCTGGTAGGTGAGAAGATGGTGATTTTTATTTATTTATTTATTTAGAGGTGGAGTTTCACTCTGCCGCCCAGGCTGGAGTGCAGTGGCGTGATCTCGGCTCACTGAAAGCTCCACCTCCCAGGTTCACGCCATTCTCCTGCCTCAGCCTCCCAAGTAGCTGGGACTACAGGCACCCGCCTCTAGGCCTGGCTAATTTTTTTTTGTATTTTTAGTAGAGACGGGGTTTCACTGTTTTAGCCAGGATGGTCTCGATCTCCTGACCTCGCGTGATCCACCCGCCTCAGCCTCCCAAAGTGCTGGGATTACAGGTGTGAGCCACCGCAACCGGCCTGAGAAGACGATGATCTAAGGCTGGCCCTGTGGCTTCTCAAGTCATAAGGACAGGCATGGGATCAGGGCCTGGTGGCTGACTCCTCTGCTCCTGCCTTAATGGCCTGTGGTAAGGCTACATGACAACCAAGGCTCCAGAATGGATGAGCTGAGTTAGGGACTCTGAACTTTACTACCTCCTTCGCTACCTCCACAGGCCCTGAAGGTGGTGGAAATGTCTCTGAAAGGCCTGGCAGCCTGAAGATCCCAGATGTCCACCTTCAACCTTTACAGCGGAAGACGGGCAACAGGAGGAAGCCAGAGTACGCAGCAGACACTGACAGGATCCCTGGGGACTGCAGCCCACGGGTCTTAGGTTTGTTTCTCATTGCTACCAGGCTTGGCCATCTACAACAGGGATGCCCATGCCCCTGAGGTTTGGGAGGTTAGACAGCCCAGCTGGCTTGCCCTCTTGCTCCCTTCCACCTCCACTGTCTAGCATCTCAATTTCTTTCTCTTTCTCTTCTTTCTGTCCAAAGTCTTTGAATAAGAGGAAACCTGCCCAGCCCTTGACCAGCCTCACCTGAACAGTACCTGTATGAATGAGTATAGTCCTTGTCTCCACAGTGAACCACACTTGGCAAACCTGGTCAAGGAGACAGCCTCCCTTTTTCTGGTCCCACAGTACCCCAGAGCAGGTTCCACCTGCCCCACTGGAGTTCCAGACAGCTTCTCATGCCTGCCCCTGTGGGTCACCCCTTTGGGTGGTAAGGCCCTGGGCTCTGTGGTTTGAGATGATCCTCCCTCAGGCATGAGCCTCAGAGGCAAACATAAAGAGGAAGTTCAGAGTCCCTGGCTCAGAACTCTGGTGGGCAGGCCTTAAAGGTATTGGGAGCACCCTCTCCAACTCCACCGGCCCAGACCCACCCCTTCTGGCATCCCTACATTCTCTAAGTTGCATTCCAATACCTTTTCCTTGAAGTGTGATGGTGAGGAATAATGAAATAAGAGAAGGGGTTTGCACAGATTGAGTGCTCAGGTAAGGGAACAAGAGGTAGCTGGAACCAAAGCCATAGCCAAGCCTAGGTAGTACTCACTGCCCCATCAGCCACTCAGAGCTAACAGCACAGGGCCTGCAGAGCTGTCTTAGCTATCCCCCCACCAGCCCATGGACAGTGCCGGGGACTACCACTCACTGTGACTTCTCTAGGCAAAGTTTTTTGGAGTAACCATGCTGGGAGCTGGAGGGCCGGGCTGGGGGAGTATCCACATCAAAGGTAGCATTGAGATCAATATCTTCACTGAAGGATGGCCGGCGGAGCTTCAGGTTCACCTCCACAGGAGCTGGGCTGAAGGCAGAGATGACCTGGTTACTTGGGGCCACAGTGGTAACCCAGAAGGACAACAGCTCCTCAAGCATCAGAGACAACTCAGCTCCAGGGACCTGGAGCCCACTCCTGACTGAAGGCCACCCCTCAAGAAAGCCCTACTCTCGGCCAGGCACAGTGGCTCGCGCCTGTAATCCCAGCACTTTGGGAGGCCGAGGTGGGCGGATCATGAGGTCAGGAGATCGAGACCATCCTGGCCAACATGGTGAAACCCCGTCTCTACTAAAAATACAAAAATTAGCTGGGCGTGGTGGCTCGTATCTGTAGTCCCAGCTGCTCAGAAGGCTGAGGCAGGAGAATCACTTGAATCCGGGAGGCGGAGGTTGCAGTGAGCTGAGATTGCGCCACTGCATTCCAGCCTGGCAACAGAGCGAGACTCTGTCTCAAAAAAAAGCCCTACTCTCTAGAGAACAAACCACTTGACTCAGTCCTTTGCATAGTCATGGGACCAGTGAAAGTCTGGAAGACAAAGAAAGAAGCAAGCCAAAACCCAGAGAAAACCTAAATGTATAAATAAAAGCCTACTGCCCTTTGACCACATAGCCTCATGTCTCAGAATGCAATGTAAGGAGCCAGTCAGAGATGTCACCACAGATTGATGTGGAGGGAAGGTCTCCCTTCCTCTCCCTGTGATGTTGCTACTTACCCCGGCAAATGGTACAATATTAGAAACCATCAAAATGATTCCCTAGGGGACTGGCAGTCATAGCTTAAATATGACGTAGGCAAAAAGTAGTGTTTCCAGAGAGTAAATTTAATAACATGGGGAAATGTTTGTATGCTAGATTTATTTATTTATTTTTTTTGAGACGGAGCCAAAATCACGCCACTGCACTCCACTCCAGCACCCCAGCCTGGGCGACAGAGCAAGACTCTGTCTCAAAAAAAAAAAAAAAAAAAAGCATGCAACAGTAATCCCTGATTGCACCACTGCACTGATCCAGACTCTGTCTTAAAAAAATTTAATTTGGCCGGGTATGGTGGCTCACGCCTGTAATCCCAGCACTTTGGGAGGCCGAGGCAGGCAGATCACGAGGTCATGTGATCGAGACTATCCTGGCTAACACGGTGAAACCCCATCTCTACCAAAAATACAAAAAATTAGCCGGGCGTGGTGGCGGGCGCCTGTGGTCCCAGCTACTTGGGAGGCTGAGGCAGGAGAATGACGTGAACCCAGGAGGCAGAGCTTGCAGTGAGCTGAGATCCGGCCACTGCACTCTAGCCTGGGCAACAGAGCGAGACTCCGTCTCAAAAAAAAAAAAAAAAATTTAATTTAATTTAAAAGGCACACAAAACTCCATGTATAGTGCAATTACATGATTTGGCACCCCCCTCACCACTCCCAACCCCACCCCCACATGCAGAAAAAGGAGTAGAAGGAAATATTCCACATGTCAACTGTAACTACCTCTATAATTCCCTATTTTCCAAATTCTCAATGAGTGTGTTTTTACTTTTATAACGGGTGGGTGTCGGGGGGGGGGAGTGAAGTTTTATTCTATTAAAAACTACAGCCCACAGGATTCTTCCAGCCCACCCAGACCTGGCAGGGCTCCCCAGCTCCTGCCATACAAGGAGAACCCTGGGGAGTGGCAAGGGTAGCTCCAAAGATGCCTTCTCTCTTCCCTTCCTCAGGAACTTTTCAGGGCTGCACCACAGTCCCACTCTCACTGGGATGTACATATCAGAGGGAGGAAGGCTACCTGCATTGATCTGGGTGGCTAAGCAATCCAGGCAACCTGGACTATTTCTTCCTTCCCTGTCCAGGACCCTAGAAGCTCTACTTCTGTCCTTGCCTGCAAGTGAAAATGAAGGCTGCACAAACCCACCTCAAACCAACTCCAGGCTGGCTGCTTCGCTTCCTCCTCTGGGAACCACAGCAGCCAGGACCACTCATGCCATCTTTTTTGCAGTATCCATATTCTGCCACCATTTACCAATCCCAGCAAGTTGAGGCTCAGGTTAGGAAAGATAAACTCAAGAGGCAGGCAGGATCTCGCTGGGTGCTGTGAATTTTACCCTCAAGGTGGCTCAAGGCAGGACTTTCTTTTTTT